ATACAGAATTATTTTCAGATATTTTCCACACAATTTGAAACAAGTTAAAAGGGAAAAACAGACATTAATTGGTCAAAATAGGTGAAAAAAATGTATTTAATTTGGTTCAAAAAACTTTTTTAAATGTTGATGTTTCTATATTGTGAACAATACTTTAGCCATTTACTTCAAGTATAGCTAAGGCATTTCAAATATTAAAGGAGACCTATTTTGCAAATAAAGTCTGCAAAAACACTTTGATTGACATTCGTCTCGCCTGTACGCATCATCAGAGGGGCATAAGGCATTGGCATATGGTGTTACTCTTGTTTTCAATATGCCACTATGCTGACACATAAGCATTTACAGGCCCGTAGCTAGGGGTGGTTCGGGTGGTTCGAAAGACCCACCCCTCAATGACAAAGGTCCAGAATTTGTCCCATACATGAGCTCATTCGTCTTATTTTGACTGCTATGCCATCATAAATAGTGAAATTAATCCATTGAAAAAGGCTTTAAGACCAAGAAAAATTCTATATGAAAATTAATTTGAAAACTAATTTGGCTATTTTTTAATCCATGAGTTTTCAATCAAATCAAATGTACTTTCTTTACAAGAGAGGCCAGAAAAATTCTTAAAAGCTCTTTTATTATTATCATGTTTTGATTTTTTATAATTCAAACAGCCAAATTCTGACTGAGGACAGTTAAATGTTATGGCCAGTTTGTAGGCTAAGGCTAAAATAGGCTACAGTTTTTAATTTAAAACTTCAACAGATTCCTATTTTTTTCTAAAGATTCATGATCTAATAAATTTGTATTTCAAAAATAAGTATTTATTCATTTTTCTTTATTCTAAATCTTTAGGAAATATTTTGGTTCTAATTCAGCTAAAAATAGTGCTTAAAATGTTAGTAAAATACAGTATGAAATCTCTTACATTGTAAATGAGGTGAATAACTGCAAAAAGGTCCACATTTTGAGAAAAAGTATCACCCCTTATACCAGGCTGGCTATGGGCCTGATTAATATATTCGCCCTCTTTTGAAAAGAGTACAATCTCATTTGAATTTAAAGTCACAGTCACCAAAACAGCATAATGAGATTCAAAGCCTAAAAGGGGCAGTTTCAAAGAGTTATAAAACATTATTTGTGGGGTATTTTGAGATGAAACTTCACATAAACCCACCAGGGACAAAGACTTATTTTACATCTTGTAAACAGGGGCATAATTGGTCCCCTTTCACTTAAATGTACATTGTATTGATTATTTCATTGCCCCAGATAACAGGCAAGACTGAATACACCGATATAGTGAACTCATAAAGGATTAATGAGCAGCTGTTGAGGAGTAAGAGGAAGTTTGTAACACATGCCAGTGCATATCAATCAAAAATGATAAAAAAAAAACTTGCATGAATTCTAACTTCAAGGTTTACACCGCAGTCACACTGCAAAACCTCAGATCTGTATCGATTTAATACCACATACAAAAGTAGCACAAACCAAAATCAAATGCCTTTCGCATGCATATGCAATCAGAACAGAAGCATATGCACAGAAGCAGCGGCTGCAGATCATGTGTAGGGAGAGTAGAAGCAGTGCGCAGACATTTGGCTCACACAGATAAATCTATCTCTATTTTATGTAGTTGCCCATTTATTTATACATACAAAAACACTTTTTACTTTTATTTTTCATTTGCACCAAGGGCCGCACCAAATTACATAGATCATAAAAAACTATGGTTCTTAAGCTATACGAGAAGGGTGTCAATCATGTCTTTTCAGATGCACTCTGAAGACAATCATCTTTCAGATCATGTGATTTTGTTAATGATCGTCAGCATGATGTATAATTATAGTAATATTTATACACACTAAAACACATATTGTGATTTTTTGCAAAATTGCCCAGCCTTATGTTACAGTTTGTAAAGATCTGTGAGTATGTGACTGAAGGTATTTCAATTAGCAAAGAACTCATGAAGATCTCATTAAATGTGTAGAAGATTCTAAAAAGCACCAGTAATTCATGTGACAAATAAAGATGTGCTCGTTTCTGAAGCCTGAATTGAACTATAATGAGCAACAGTGCTAATGTGAAAAAAACATGGTGTGCATTATGTCCACAGACCACTAGTCTCAAAATATTATTGTATTCAGATAAAGACAAGCTGTTGTCATGCAGTCAATGTGGACCTCTATTTGGTTGTCAGGTCAAGCGAAAGAAAGGAAAAAGAAAAGCTGCATGTGGTGATGTAGCCCTACACTTCCCATACAAGAAAAAAAAACACTAAGAAATGTGCTATATAAATAAACTTGCTTTGCTTTAAAGTCATGTTACACTATTGAAAAAGAATACAAAAGATTCCTGGAAAATAGCTTTAAAAACACATTTACAAGAAATACACTAGATGTTTGTCTTCGTTAAATAAAACAGCTAAGCCTAGAAGTACAGATGACAAATAGATATGATAACTACACGCAGAGACATCAAACACAAAGCTGAGTCAGAGCAGCTCATAAAAAGGTCTGTTAACTTTTATTACTATACGCCTCTTTTGATTTCTAGTAATGTTTCTTCTTTATTTGCTTTTCTTTCGGTCCGTCTTGCAGTAGGCGTTTTACAGAAACTTACGGACATATGCTGATGTTTACGGTCATTCACATCATGAATAATGAAAAAACCAAGACAATTGGCTGACCACTCTGGACACTTTGGGACTGAGGGTCCATGACGCTTCACTGTAGGTGGTGAAAGCACATTTGACTTCGTGGACCATGTCCTTTTTTGACGCATCACATGTGAACTCTTTAAGGGTCATGAAAACACCATTTTGGCAGCAGTTAGTTCTCATGGCGTTAACAAAAGAGAAAGTGGACAGAAAAAAATAAGACATTTAAGGGAGAATTTTAACTTCTGAGTGCTAAAAAAATAATTATATAAATATTCTAAAGGTGCTGTTGACTTGAAACTTTTTACTGGATGTTGGTAACAACACAAAAAAAACTTAATTTGCCAGTTAATTGGTTTTGTTTTTGTTTGCATATATGGATTTCTTTATCCATATATGCAAACAAAAACAAAACCAATTAACTGGCAAATTAAGTTTTTTGTAATAAAATAGAATTTAAAAAAAACAAACAGTTTTGAACATATGAAGAAAGGAAGGTGTAGAAAGGCATGGAAACAGAAAGCCCAGCCAGCAGCTGAAATCTCTCAGTAGTTCTGTAGCAACCCTCTGCCCTTCATCATTGTAAAGTAATATTAGCTATTTCAGTCCAACATCTACATTATCAGGATGATGAAGATGAAACCAGAGTGGACATTTTAGCAAGACAATGATCCAAAACACAGCCAAGGAAACTCTTAAATGCTTTCAGAGACAGAAAATCCAGCTGTAGAATGGCCCAGCCAATCACATGACCTGAATACAAAATAAAGCTCAGATTTGACAGACGAGCCAGAACCATCAAGATTTTGAGCTGCCATCACCCCATACCTAATTTTTCAGATTTGTTTAGTTTTGTTTCATTTTTATGTTTGTATTGTTTGGGTTTTTACCAAAATCTGGTTCAATCTCATGTCAATAGCTCCTTTAGAAATATTATTCCCAGGAAAAAATGACGCGTTCAATACATATTTCCCACACAGTATATTGTTGATAATATAAAATTGAGCAATTAAACTCAGCATGCTGCTCCAACTGCCACGTTAGGCACAGAAAAAAACAAAGGTTTTCTTGGCATAAAACCTTTCAATACTTCAGCCAAACCAATTTTACATTTTGCTCCTCCAGGAACAAAATTGGTCACTGTGAAGCTGACATCTTTACCTGTCATAGCTTATCCACATTGTGTGGACAAATTAGACGCTCACACAGCCAAACCACTGTTCTGTAACAACGCAATCATCGATAAATGACAGGCATTTTTAGAAAAGTACACTAGACCAGCATTAGAGTACTTCATCTAGAAGATTAGACTCAGAGCGCTGTCAGATGCTCTTTTTTAAAAACAAACAGACCTACAAAAACATTCTTAATAATCATGATAACATGCCAGTTCATTTGGACTCAGTTTTGGATTCTCTGTTTAGGTTCTCACTTTCTAGACAAATACAGACAATTAGTAGTAAAGTATTCACTCCTTTGCTTTTTAAACTATACAAATCATACTTATAATCTAATTATTGTAAAGTTAATAGACTTCTTTGTTACATTTGTCCACTGGGAAAAAAATTATAAATATAAATACATATTTACAAAAACATATTTATTTGAAATGTATTTCAATTTTATTTTACCAAATTTTATTAGTATTGCTGCTATTTCTGACTATTTGAAATCCTATGACTGAAATGAAAAAATGAGAAAAAATGAAATAACATTCTTGACAAACATGGTTTAAATAAGTCTTCTAACAGTGTCAATAACAACAACAAAAAAACTACAAGTGATTGGTATTTTAAAAATCTGATTGTTAAATCTTTACTCTTCTGGTCAGTGATTTTGGCCTTTTGACCAAATATTTCACTCCTTTTCCTTCGGCTTAGTCTCTTATTTATCAGGGGGCGCCACAGCGGAATGAACAGCCAGCTTTGTAGCATATATTTTAGGTAGCGGATGCCCTTCCAGCCACAACCCAGTACTAGGAAATACCCATACACTTTCACATTTACACATGCACTCATACACTACGGCCAATTTTGTTCACCCTATTCACTTTAAGCATATGTCTTTGGACTGTGGGGGAAACCAGAGCACCCAGAGGAAACCCACACGAACACAGGAAGAACATGCAAACTCCACATAGAAATGCCAACTGACCCAGCGACCTTTTTGCTGTGAGGCAACAGTGCTAACCACTGAGCCACCATGCCTCGCCCAAAAATTTCAGTGTCCCATTAATTTTGGCCAACAGCTATTAAAAATGTATAGTTTGTTAGATGTGCGTGATTGTTTGGAGATTTTCCGATTGTTGCAAACATGTCTGGCCGTTACTTTGCTAACTCCTTACCTGAAAAGCCTTTCGACCGCTGGGCGATGATACACATGTGACACTATGCTGGTCCACCAAGTCCAATGCTTGAAGTGCACATGGGCCAAACACAAACCGTAATCTAAAACAGGAACAGATCAAGACCCAAAGGGTTAACTTGAGAATTCATCCCTTTACCTACAGGAAACCAATGGCGGATGATAAGACGGTGACATGAACACAGGAAGCAGAGGTGCAACAAACCTAAACTCTCACTATTCACCCAAAACTGAAATGTCTGTCAACAATTACCTATTCTGAAAATGTTTGAGATTCTTTCTTCTGTTGTTTTAAAAAATGCTAAAAACCTGTAAGCATTGACTTCCATTGTATTTGTTTTTCCTGCTGAGGAAATTAATAGTTACAGGTTTCTAAAGTAAAAAAAAATAATAATAATAATAATAAGAAGAAGAAGAAGAAGAAGAAGAAGAAGAAGAAAACCCTCAAACATGAGAAATTACTTAAGGATGAGTTCATTTTTATTTTAGTGTAAACTATCCCTTCAAGAGTAAAATACAGTCATGCAATAGTAGGCATGGGACGATAATTTTTTTTCAAGGTATACCGCGGTTTGGAAAAGTCAGGGTTTTAAAACTGACAAAATTTTCTGCAATATCGTTCCTGCAATATGCGTAAAAAAAAAATTATGTTTTTTTTTTTTGTATTTTTGTTTGTTTATTTTTACTTTTTTTCGGACAACAGCATCTCCAACAGAAAAGATATCCAAAATGCTGTTTTAAAATGTAAAGAAATCTGTGTTTTTGAAACCTGACATGTTTCTATTGTTCCTGTTCCAAAATATTACAGTATTCAATGGGAAAAAGTTTTTGCTTTTTAACCAGTCATTTAAAAAGAATAAATTTTAGAGCAGTTATCACAATACCGTAAAACCGTGACATTTTTATTCAAGGTTATCATACCATTAGAATCTTATACCGGCCCATGCCTACACCATAGCATATTCGCTATTTACATGGCAGACTTTGTAAGCAGGAAATCTGAAAGCTTCACCAATAAGGAAACAGATCTGCTCGTGTCAAACGTTAAAGCTAGCAGACCATCTACGGAACAAGCTGGATTCCACCAAAGCCCCCTGAGTTGAAAACGGCGTGAGGGGTAGAATTGGCTTATGCGTTTATGTAGTCAATAATAATATTTTACATTTATTTTAATCCTTTAATTATTGATATTAAATGATAATTGTGTACTGCTGTGCATCCCTGTGTGTGTAATAAGCAATGTGTATTTATGTTTTATACCTGGCTATAACCAACATGCTCATCAAATTATTATTATTATTATTATTGTTGTTGTTATTATTATTATAAACTGCATCATTGGCTTAGAGCAGCTTTTAGTTGGTCAATGGCATGGACAATTTCAAATGGCTCAAAACAGAAATGTACCAACAAGGCATCTTAACACACCTCATTTTAAAACCAGCACACCCATGGGTGCAAAAGCATTAGCTAAATGTTTTATAAACAACATTTAAAACGATGTATAGAAGGATTGACACTGCACCAGGCTGAAAGAGAGGGTGCTCGCTGCAGAGCCATTTGAGGAGAGGTGAGCTCCAGAGAGGGGGAGCATGAGCTGTCGCTCCTCCTCCTGTAAGCTGTTTTAATGCGTACACCAACCCCACCTCTAACCCTACCCCCAGTGACATCACTCGTAGAAGAAGTGCAAAAAAGGTGGAGCTCAAGCTTAAGCTCCCCCTCTCTGGAGCTCACCTCTCCTCAAATGGCTCTGCAGCGAGCACCACTTGGGCTGAAATGATCAAAAATACTTGCATTCTGCCTGATGCCGGTTGTATGACAGGGCGCATTATCGATGTCTCTGAGAGAGAAGCAGACCTAATCAAGCACATTACATGATGATGACACAGAGACCACAATCAATTGCTTGATAAAGCAAAAAAAATAGTTGACCTGTGATGTGAACTGCCATTTATACAGGAATGTGATTTCCACAGAAGAGTAATTACTGTGGCTTAGAGCTTTCCCCAATGGTCGACTGATGACAGTCATTGTGGGTTTGGGGATGCTTTTAAAGTCATGATTTATTCAGGCGATGACGTTTGGGAAGAGAGCGCTTCATAAAGACTACGCTGAGTACATCAGGCGGTTAAGAGTGTAAGAGCTGGTTTCAGCACACGACTGCAATAATTGACCCTCTTCAACTTCAAGTCAAGAGCATGCTAAATATTTACCAGACTGTAGTTCAAGGAAAACTCCCACAATACAGTAAAATTAACCTATGGTAGACTTTAATAATTGACTATTTCATTGTTGTTGTTACTTTCTCTAATTTCCCTTATCGTTTAAATTCAATGTTTTATCACATTTTTAAATGTAATTTATGTGTGCATAATTTCTGGACATTATTGTTTTTGTTTGTTATTACCACTAACCATTGCGACTGTATCTTTACGTAACATCATTATGAGATTTTTGAATTTGTGACAATGATATCATGTACACTCAATGGCCACTTTATTAGGTACACCTTACTAGTACCAGGTTGGCCGCCCTTTTGTCTTCAGAACTGCCTTAATCCTTTGTTTCATTGATTCAACAAGGTACTGGAAATATTGCTCAGAGATTTTGGTCCATATTGACATGATAGCATCATGCGGTTTCCTCAGACTTGTCGGGTGTACATCCATGATACAAATTTCCCGTTCCACCACATCCCAAAGCTGCACTACTGGATTGAATTCTGGTGACTGTGGAGGCCATTTGAGTACAGTGAAGTCATTGTCATGTTCAAGACACCAGTCTGAGATGATATGCACTTTATTACATGGCGCGTTATCCTGCTGGAATTAGCTATCAGAAGATGGGTACACTGTGGTCAAAGAGGGATGCACATGGTCAGCAACAATACACAGGTAGGCTCAATGCTCAATTGGTTCTAATAGACCCAAAGTCTGCCAAGAATATGTCCCCCACACCATCACACCACCACCAACAGCCTGAACCATTGATACAAGGCAGGATGGATCCATGCTTTCATGTTGTTGACCCCAAATTCTGACCCTACCATCCGAACGTTGCAGCAAAAATCGACACTCATCAGACCAGGCAACGTTTTTCCAATCTTCTATTGTCCAATTTTGCTGAGTCTGTGCAAATTGTAGCCTCAGTTTCCTGTTTCTAGCAGACAAGAATGGCATCCGGTGTGGTCTTCTGCTGCTGTAGCCCATCCGCCTCAAGGTTCGACATGCTGTGCGTTCAGAGATGCTCTTCTGCATAGTAATTTACGTTAACAAGCAGCTGGACAGGTGTACCTAATAAAGTGGACGGTGAGTGTGTACATGGGGGGGGGGGTTGTTTATTGTATTTTTATGTTATTTATTGCTATAACTTATTTTTCTTCTGATGATTGTTTAAAAAGATATATTGTCCTGATCCTATTTGCATTCATACATTCTACATAATGTTATGTATATTTGCAATAAACAAAAGATGAAAAAAGAAAAAGAGGGTGGAAGGAGAAAAATCAGGCATTGAGCTGAAACATTTGTGTTTGTAATTCAGAACAAAAAAACTATACCTATGATAAAGATGAAGATTGAGAAAATACTTACGCTATTAGTAAGTCATCTGGTACTAAAAGAAGAAATAAAGAGATAATATTAGTTCTTATAACAATTGCTTTATGAACCTAAAAAATAAAAAGGGATAGTTTTAAAGAGATAGTTCACTCAAAGATTTTAATTTACTCACTATTTACTCAACCTCAACTGGGTCCAAGCCTTTATGAGTTTCTTTATTCGGTTAAGCAACAAAGACAACTGGAAAGCTGGAAACCACTGAATTCCTTAGCAGGAAAAACAAATACTATGGAAGTCAATGGTTACAGGTTTACAGCATTCTTCAAAATATCTTATTTTATGTTCATCAGAAAGCTAAGCAGGTTTATATCAAGTGAAGAGTGAGTAAATGATGACAATTTTCTTTTCTGTGTGAACTATCCTTTTAAAGCACAAAGGCAACATGAAACATCTGGAGGAAATAACTGTTTAACTATTAAGCACACATTAAACATAATAATGTATAATTAGCTATCGGTCATGCAAAACAGCTTATTTTGGTTGTTTACTTCAGTCACTGTAGGTTCTCTGGAGAAAGACCCAAACAAATAGAAATTGAAACAACATCTCAATCTCAAATCATCAATCCTCTAATCATTTCTCCCTTGATACTTCTCTCTGGCATTGCTTGATATCAGCATTCCAGCACAATAATGTCATTACTCTTAACCAGATATTCACATTAAGTCTTGTCTGCACGCATCAGGAATTCAAAAAAAGACATTTTGAGACATGTTTTTAATACAACTTGAGGCTGAGGAACATAGTGCTGCAGGACAAAAAATATGAATAAATATAAATACACACGACAATATACTCTGTATTACTTACTAAACTAAGGAAAATTCAAACTATAAGACACTTACACAAGACATGATGTATGCATTAACAAACTGAAAACTGCAAAGTAGATATTTAAAAACATGCAAATTCTGGTATTAGTGCGCCATCCTGTGTCAGCAGAAGAAATTGCAGCTTTTGCTACTGTTTTGTCTTGAATTGATAAAGTTCAGTCACTTTTAAAAATGCTAATACCAGGGCTAGGAATGTATTAGGTTATGAGGTTGAAATGAGCTTCTCAGACTTTTCTTATTACCGATTATCATCCCACCTTTGCTTATTGAAGAAAACAAATCCATTTGAAATCATATTTAAAATCAAATTATTATATTCAATAGACTTTCATTATTTGTTGTCTACTGCAAAATATTTGCCTTTTAATTTATTTAAATTTTAATTTACCTAGTTTTATTATAGGAATTATTACTGCTGTTAATAATTATAAATAGATGCAATATTTTTATTGTTGTTATAGGAAGATACAATTGCATAATTATTTTAGGGTTTCTGCACGTTTCATCAAGTCAAATTTAAGACTTGAAAAATTTTAGACTTATACAGGCCTAAACATTATTTCTAATGATCAAAAAAACAATTCTTAGTGACATACTTTAGTGACTCAAAACAAGAAAATTGTAGTTGTATACATTTGTTTTACCATAAAATTTCTTTTTATTTTATGACAAGTTTAACATTGTTAAAAGTATATTTATTGTGGAGGCAATTGCATTAATAACCAAAAATATATATTTGTTGGCTTTTGGTCCAAATTGATTGAGTATAACTTCTATTCACCCTAATGCATTTCTGTTATAAATCCTTAAGTTTCATGCCCATTTATAAATATTGTCTACTCCCCCATATTTCTGTAAACAGTGTTTTGTATGACTGAAAGAGAATGTAAAGGGATATATAGCGCTGTTATTATTATGAGGAATTTAGTGTTCTTTCCCTGATTTTATTGAGATGTATTGTAGGTGATTGGATGGATGCAGGCCCAATTTGGTCAAGTGGTGGTCACTGCAGAGCCACTTGGGCACAGCTCAGCTCCAGCAAGGGGGGGGCTCCAGCTCCTTCTTCCTTGCACTTTTTCTACAAGTGAAAGTGATGTCACTGGGGGTTTGGGGTTAGGGGTGGGTGTACGCATTAAAACAGCTTATAGGAGGAGAAGTTGGAGCTCAAGCTCCCCCTCGCTGGAGCTCAAGTGGCTCTGCAGCAAGCAGTGTCTCGATTGGGTAGCTTTACTTGGACAGAGAAAAATGAGTTTAAAATTATTTAGGACACACAACACAATATTTCAGTGAATTTAAGACTTTAGGGCCTAAAATTTTCTAATTGAAATTTAACACATTTAACAAAATGTTTAGACCTTGCGGACACCCTGTTTATTGTTTTAATGCTTTTTAAACTTTTGTAAATTTATTTATTTTTTTAAATAACAGTGTTGACGAACATATATACATATATATATATATATATATATATATATATATATATATATATATATATATATATATATAATATAAATAGAATATAAAAATAAAAACATATTTTATTTATTTTTAGACTTTTTGCACACAAATTTGCACTAAATAATTTTTTTTTTTTAAATCAAGACTGCTGATTATTTAATCTTCTTGTAAATGATTTTTGTCTTTTTAACCAAATATTTCAGAATTATTCATATTATTGCAGTATTATTATTTTTGGTATACAACTATTTAAAAAGAAAAAAAAAATATATATATATATATATATATATATATATATATATATATATATATTGTTCAGCAGATGTGAGCGATTGTTTAAAGATTTGTTATATTGTTATATTGCAGATATTTCAAGGCAGCGTTTTGTGAAAATAATAAATTGTTAAAGTTTAGTGTTCACTTTTTAATTTTTTTATTCTCAGGTCTACTGATGTACTGAGTTTTAAGGCTGTGGAAAGCTTTCCACACTGTTCTTATCACTAGTTATCATTTCTCTAAACAGGGCCAGCTTTTGCTTTTGTACAATTAACCAAGTGCAAACATGCAAAACAAGCAATGACAGTGACACCACAAAATAAGGGGGAAAAAAGAACATTAACTTGGAATTAAGGATTATTATGAGAAATCTTATCTTATGAATATACAGATTTAATCATTAACTGTAAGTCAACTATGAGCAGTGTGAAATGGCCGCTTATGAAATGTCCAGATTTAATTGTTAACTTTGATGTAAATTATTATGAGCAGTGTGAAATGTGAAACAAGAAAACCCAGTATTATATTTGCAAAGATCTAAGCAGGGGTTCAATATTATAAAGCCTTTGACATGGTGACTTCCAAAAGTCTGAGATCACGCAAAAAATCTTTAAACCAGAAATAAACAAAGATTTTGATTATTTTTTAAACAAAAAAAGAGAAATGTTGTTGCTTAAGGTACTGTTTGGAACCATCTAAAATTGTAATGCTGAAAACAGGATTTTCCAAGCAAATATTAAACTGACTAATTTATTTTCATTTTATTTATTTGTAAAATGTTTGGGTTATTATTTATAATTAGTTTTGCATGTTTCTATTATGTTAAGTACACTGAAAAAAATATTTACTGGATTTACTAAATAATTTTAAGTAGTTGCAAACTATTTAAAAAGGCAGAATTTAAAAAATTGAGTTGAACATTAGTCAATTTAATTTTGTTTGTTTAAATTCAACCCATTAATTGCTTGCATCAATTTAGCAAAAATATATTTCAAGTGTATTTCAAGTATCCATACTAAGCTTTAATATTGTTTTATGTCTTTCATAATCCAGTTGCTTGATCCATCTGACCAGACATTAGTGTGTGTGTGTGTGTGTGTGTGTGTGTGTGTGTGTGTGTGTGTGAGACTCACTTTGCTTTATCTCTGAGTAAGTTCTCTGTAGGTCCTTCAAAAGCTGCTCAGCAACAGAAACAAGAGATGAGCCCATAATGAACCTAAAAACGACAATGATTGATCACACAAATTAGCAACAGGGCAATTGGATTTGGCAGTACTTCATAATTATGGTAAATAGTTTTGAAAGTGAATGCATTAAATCTAAATACACGTTAAAGATGATGGTTTGTTAGTGGATATATCACGTGATTATGCTGAAGTTAATAACGTGGAGTACATGTTATCGTTCTAAATTATTAAACATAATAACTAAAACAAAACAAAATACTTGCCAACTGGTCTGTAATTCTACTAATATAAATATTATAATGTCATTTTAATAATTTGAAAGTTGTCTTGGAAACTGAAGTTTTTTGCCAAGTTATGTATTTCGCGTCCAACAAACAATCGAATAACAACAACATCGAGACAGTCAATGTAACATTAAATGAAACAATTACTTTGACATGCTTCGGTGGCATCTTTTAAAGCATGTACTGACAGAAGTTGTGCTGAATATAAAAACATTAATAAAGCTCAGATATTTATTTACCGTGTTCATGCTTCCCGCACAGCCGTACGTCATTTGGCGTTCTTCTTCTTCAGTAATTTGTATGGCGTGTAACGAACAGTTGGTTTATACCGCCATCTTTTGGTGCGTAGTGCTTTCAGCGTGTGGCACATTTGAATCTTCCAACTTCCAACGTTCTCAAAGTCGATGGGCCAACTTCGCTTCCGATTTAGCTGACATTTCTTTCTCTTTTTCATCATATAATTCTTACTTTTCTTATACAACTGAAAAACAATTAAAACTATGAAGAAAAATGTAGCTATGCTTTAAAACTGTAGTATAGCCGTTTTTATAGTTGACCATTATGTGCGAATGTTATGTTGTGGTTGGAAATACAGTTTAATAGAGAGATTTTCTGGACTTCATCTGTGTCAGACAACTTGTTAAATATCCAACCTCTATTTGGAATTTGATTCTCCTTTATAGGCCTATTTTATCTAGTTTGGGTGGTATAACTATTTTTTTTTACTTTTACTTGACTTGCATTGTATTTTTTGACGTTATTTAATAAAAATAAATAATAAAGGCAAAAAAACTGTTTACTGAAGAGAAAGTACCTAAATAAGAGCCATAGACTAAATGAAGAGAAAATAATTATCTTTATTATTAATAATTGTATTTTTTAATTAGTTAATAAATTTTTTTAATAATAAATTAGTCCTGAAAAGACTAAATGTCTAAAAGCGCTACAGGTGAATTAAATAAATTAAATTGGCTGCAGTGTATGAGTGTAAATGAGTGTGTGTGTGGATGTTTCTTAGTACTGGGTTGGGGCTGGAAGAGTATCCGCTGTGTAAAACATGTGCTGGATAAGCTGGCGGTTCATTCCACTGTGGCGACCCTTGAGGAATAAAGGGACTAAGCTTAAGGAAAATTAATTCATTCATTCATTCATTTTCTTGTCGGCTTAGTCCCTTTATTAATCCGGGGTTGCCACAGCGGAATGAACTGCCAACTTATCCAGCAAGTTTTTACGCAGCGGATGCCCTACCAGCCACAACCCATCTTTGGGAAACATCCACACACACATTCACACAAACACTCATACAGTACGGACAATTAAGCCTACCCAATTCACCTGTACCATGTCTCCTCTTAAGGAAAATTAATTAATGAAAATTGACTAATGGAACTTTATTGTGACCATGTTATTATTATTATTATTATTAATATTATTATTATTATTTTCGTATTTATAATAAAATATCATTTGGGTAAATCATTAGCTGCTACTTTTAGCTAAATACCAAACCACAATGTACTAAATACAAGACAAATATTGATACACTAGAATTTTTTTATTTCAAAGGAACCTGAAAAACCACAACAAACAAAAACATTTGGGAACATGTGTTCAAAACACATTTCGAACTCAGATTTACAGTTTTTACATAAAAAAATGTAATAGCATCAAAATGTAATTTAAGAGACTCAAAAAACGTTCAAAACATGAATGAAAGTACAAACGTCTATTGATTCAGAGGCTACAGATCTGGCAACAATTTTGTCAGCAGACAGTCAAAGGCAGATAAAAATAAATAAATAAATAAAACAAGAATGAAAGTGTAAAATTCCATTGATTCAGAAGCTGCAGACCTGGAAACAAATATATCAGGAGACTGAAAATATCTAAATTAAAACAAGAATGAAAGTGCAAAAGTCCATCGATTCAGAAGCTACAGACATGGCAACAAGTTTCTAATAGGACAGTTTAGGGCAGATTAAAAATAAAATATATCAGGAGGAAACAAATATATCAGGAGACTGAAAATATCTAAATTAAAACAAGAATGAAAGTACAAACGTCTATTGATTCGGAAGCTACAGATCTGGCAACAATTTTGTCAACGGACAGTAAAATGCTAATTAAAAAATAAATAAATAAAACATTAATGAACGTGTAAAAGTCCATTGATTCAGAAGCTGCAGACCTGGAAACAAATATATCAGCAGACTGAAAATATCTAAATTAAAACAAGAATGAAAGTGCAAAAGTCCATTGATTCAAAAACGACAGATCTGGCAACAAGTTTTTCAGCATACAGTTTAAGGTAGAAAAAAAAATAAAACATGAATGAAAATACAAAAGTCGATTGATTCGGAAGCTACAGATCTGGCAGTAATTTTGTCAATGGACAGTAAAATGCAAAAAAAAAAAAAAAAACATGATTTAAAGTGCAAAAGTCCATTGATTCAGAAGGTGCTGACTTGGCAACAAATATCTTAAAAGACTAATATCGAAAACAAGACTGAAAGTGCAAAAGTCCATCGATTCAGAAGCTACGTAACCTGGCAACACGTTTCTCAGCGAACAATCAAAGGCAGATAGACAACAAGACGACAAAAACATGAATAAAAGTGACAAAAAAGTCTGTCGATTCAGAAGTTACAGATCTGGCAACACGTTTCTTGGCGGAGAGTTTAAGGCAGATTTAAAAAATAATAATAAAATAAAACATGAATGAAAGTGGAAAAAAAAACATCGATTCAGAAGCAACAGATCTGGCAACAACTTTCTGAGCAGACAGACAAATGCAGGTTAAAATAATAATAAAATAAAACATGAATGAAAGTGCAAAAGTCCATTGATTCAAAGGCTGCTGATCTGGCAACACGTTTCTCAGAGTACAAACGCAAATTTACAGTCTATTTTTTTGTTTGTTTTCAATTTTTTATAAAAAGATTCAGCATTGGTTGATTTAGAAGCTACTGTTCTTCTTTGTGATGTTTCTCCGCGGACAGTAGTAGCGGGTGTGCGCGCGGTCCCCAGTGGCCGAGCATAACGGACACACGTAGCTCCTCAGTATCGGACACAGAACGCGTCCGTCCCTTGCCTTTAGTCTGTGGCTCCGGTAAATCTGCGCAGTCTCTCCGTTTTGCCTGCAGAAGCCACAGGAGTCACGCGGGCTCCGCAGGTCCTGGCTGGAGGAGGAGAGTGTGCAGGAGCTGCCGGAGACGCTGCTGGAGGAGCCGGTCCTGATGAAACCCTCCGCGGGCACCACACTCACAGCCGCCCGCTCCTCATCGCGATGCTCCAGCAGCAGCTGCGACAGAGTCCGGCGCAGGTCCATGTAATCCCGCCACATCAGGAAACAGCCGTCGGCTGTGGGGACGCTCTGCTGACTCTCGGACTGCATCATGTCCAGGTGTGTGTTTTAGGTGTGTTTTGCCCATGACCCCGGGTGACAGCTATATATAGAAGAATCTTCAACAGATTCCAGACAGGACATCGGTCCGTCTGTCTGGCTTAATGCACCTGTTCGCTTTGCGTGACCCTCTGGAAGTATGGCTTGACCGGGTCTTCAGAAGGTCAGCGGGTCAAGGCAGGCACGCGCTTTTGTTTTGTTTGAATAAATAGTATCAAATGCTGAGCGGCACGTGCCAGACTGAGGGCAGACTGAGGGCACGAGCGGCCGGTCTGTCTGTCCTAGTAAACATTGTAACGCTTTCGTATAATTAACAGACTGCGCTGTGTCAGCGCGATTCAGTCACGTCGACTTTTCATTTACAACTTCAAGTCATTTACATTTTACAATTAAAAGAGTTTTTATAATTTCAAGTATTCTATTGAAATGTTAAGCAGCAATATTTGTGCCAATATTTACAAACTAATTATGAAAACAAACATGACCTGCTTTGCAAACAATCAGTCGACTTGCAAAAAAAGCACTTTGGTAAAACAATGTCAGTTTGTTTGTGGTATTAACAAATAAACGTGTTGTGTTTTACAAATATAAATCGCTTTATGTACGGTTTTTAATTTTATCGCGAGCGAATGACCATGAAAAAATACCAAAATGTACCTCTGAGGGCTGCCAGTTAATTTAGTTGTATCACTGTTATGACATTAAAGTCTAGTTTTTAAATCGATGGAGGGTGTTTGTTTTTTCATCTTTGTACAATACTATGGAGAATATTTGCGCTTGACATCGGCGGGGATGGTTGAATACAATCTCCCCCATCACACACCCCCGTCAAGACGTCAGGAAAGATTATCGGTAGGGGAAAAAAAAAAAAAAAAAATATATATATATATATATATATATATATATATATATATATATATATATATATATATATATATATATATTATACAAAAATATTATATAAAAATATAAATATATATATACACACACAACACACACACACACAGCTGAAGTGAGAATTATTACCCCCCTGAATTATTAGCACCCCTATTATTTTTTTCCCCCCAATTTCTGTTTAAGGGAGAGAAGATTTCTTCAACACATTTCTAAACACAATAGTTTTAATAACTCATTTTTAATAACTGATTTATTTTATCATTGCCATGATGACAGTAAACAATCTTTGACTAGATATTTTCCAAGACACTTCTATACAGCTTAAAGTGACATTTAAAGGCTTAACTAGGTTGATTAGGTTAACTAGGCAGGTTAGGGTAATTAGGCAAGTTATTGTATAATGATGGTTTGTTCAGGAAAAATATATAGCTTAGGGGTGCTAAAAATTTTGTCCTTAAAATGGCTTTTAAAAAAAACTGCTTTTATTCTAGCCAAAATAAAACAAATAAGAATTTTTCCAGAAGTAAAAAATATTATCAGACATGCTGTGAAAATTTCTTTGCTCTGTTAAACATAATTTGGGAAGTATTTAAAAAAGAAAAATATATTCAAAGGGGGGCTAATACTTCTGGCTTCAACTATATATATATATATATATATATATATATATATATATATATATATATATATATATATATATATATATATATATATTGCTATTAATAATTTATATGCTTTTGAAATATATTATTAATTAATCCTCTCTTCATACAATTAATTAGGCTAAATTAAATAATCAGGCCCATAGCCTAGGGGGGTTCAGGTTTGAAAGACTAACAGTTGGATTATTATTATTGTTTGAATTTTTCATTTTTTCAGGTAAAGTTGAAAGGCTAAAAGCTTAAGTTTTTAATTTAAAACAAGTTTTAACAGATTTAAAAAAAAATGAGTTAATGATGCATGATAATAAATTTGTATTTGAAAAATTTTGGGAGGTTTGGGGGACTTGTCAAGGAAGAAAGTGAAGAGCAGCAGGTGAGGTTGGCATGGCGTTGGATCCTCGGATCTTTTTTTGCTGCCGTCATCCTGAGTGTTTGTCACACATATCACACACCTCATTCCTGCACGGGATTTCCCTGCAGTTTTGGCGCTGTTAAATCCGAATGGGTTTGTTTTTGTCACCATAGATTATTATGCAGGTTAAATCCACATTTTGGTTGTAGTTTTGGTTGTTGTTTAGAAACATTAAGAAGACTGCTTGACTAGCCAACTGTATTAATGATAGGCCTATACAGTATGTCATGTGTCTTTAAATGACAAATCTGTTCTGCATTGTCACAAAAGAAGATGAGGTGGCATCATCCTGCTCCAGAGGCACCAACAGCTGCACAGGTACAGACACAGGATGCAGCACTGAGGACCATCCATCTCTACAGGTACAGAGAGGGTTGTATTCCTTACCTTTTGTAAATGATTGACATTAGGAATGCTTCCGCAGAAAACATGTCAGTGTTTATTTTGATGTGAATGTTAAAGTATAATTTTGAGTGCTTATATGAATATTTATATATAAATAAATCAATAAATACATGTTTAAATACATATGTTTGTCTGTTTTTGTTCCTCTGAGGGGGCACCACAGTAAAAGTTTGCTTAGGACACCCTTTAGGCCAGTAGCGACCCTGCTCATCCATGACTCCCAGCATGCACTGCAGCAAGAAATATGTTACCGTCATTGAGATTCAGACTCTGATTCTTGAAGTCTGTGTGTTTAGACAGTCCAGATGTTCAATGTAGTTCAAACTCTGCTGGGTTACCTTCAGTTTGACATTTGGGAATTATGATCAGTAATGGGAAAAACAGCACCTCAACATAATGAATATAATCTGAAGTGAACGATAACATACATTATTGAAACAAACACACACACACATATATATATTCATTCATTCATTCATTTTCTTTTCGGCTTAGTCCCTTTATTAATCCGGCGTCGCCACAGCTGAATGAACTGCCAACTTATCCAGCAAGTTTTTATGCAGCGGATGCCCTTCCAGCCGCTACCCAGCTCTGGGAATCATCCACACACACATTCACACACACACACACTCATACACTATGGACAATTTAGCTTACCCAATTCACCTGTACCGCATGTCTTTGGACTGTGGGGGAAACTGGAGCACCCGGAGGAAACAAACGCGAAGGCAGGGAGAACATGCAAACTCCACACCGAAACGCCAACTGAGCCGAGGCTCGAACCAGCGACCTTCTTGCTGTGAGGCGACAGCACTACCTACTGCGCCACGCCACTGCCTGGCCCAAATAATATCAAATCATATAAAATAATCTTTAAGGGGAAATGAAGCGCTCAGTCAAGTTTAACTTATTTTGTACATTGGATTCCACTTTAATGAAAATATATTAAACAAACTTGATTAATGTAACCATTTAGCAGAAAACGGCATGTTTTACTATAGATTTTTAGAACATCTTGGAATGTCGCTGTGTCTGATGTCACAGGGTTGGTTCAGTTCCCTCCGCAGAACAGAGACAGTGGAAGTAAAGGAGACTGTAAAGCCTAATTTAACCCCAGGCATGAAGTTGTGGACATGGAGCTGCTGCAAATACAAGCATCAGGGGCCTCATGTACGAAGACTTGCGTGGAAATCTTACTAAAACATTGCGTACGCACAAAGCTGTAAATGTGCGTACGCAGAAAAAAATTCAGATGTATGAAACACTGCGTACGCCGAATCTCACGCATATTCTTTTGTACATCTGAATGAACGTGAAACTGAGCGCAACATGAACGAGCACAAAACCCCTCCCTGCCTCCTCCCCCGTATGAATATGCTAATGACTATGCTAATGGCAAAACCCAACAAAAAAGCAATGTCAAAATCAAGCAAAAAGAGAAACTTTGAACAGAATGTGAACTGGAGGTGCTGCTTTCGGAGGTAGACCGGAGAAAAGCGGTGTTATTTGCAAGTTTGTTCTCCGGAATTAACAACAAAAGAAAAAAAATAGAGTGGGAGAGTTTAGCTGATGCGGTCAACACAGTTGGGTCTGAACATATCGCACTGAGTGCATTAAAAAAAGAAATATTGTGGTTTATATCTGTAAAATGTTGCAGGACGCTTAACAGTCTCAGTGGCGCACCTTGTAAGACGCATGTGATCAAGAATTGATACGTTCGAGCATGAACTCGACTCGAATCCAGCGTCTGATGAACTCTTTCTTGTTTTTTCCCCCGCTACAAATCAGATTTTGCCAACTATTTATCACGAGAAAGACAAGTAGGAATCATCAATAAGTTTATATCAATAAGCATCATATTTTATTTGCACATTTATTGAATGGAAATGTTTCTGATTCACGCATGCAAATTCATCTTCAGATAGTGTCTTTATAGCAATGTGCGTGCAGTAGATTGCTCAGATTACATTGGGAAAACAGGCGACTGCTGCAAATTGTGCTTTAATGTTTAGCTGGTCAAATGTATGGTATGGAAACCTTATATACCTGCTGAACCCGTCTCATACAGCTGCCATTGCAAGGCTCAGACACTTTGTAGAGAGGAATTTAACACAACTGCCTCTAGGAGTCGCCAATGGAAATAAAACAGACACGCACAAAAAATGTGCGTACGCCAGCCAGAAAGCTGCCGTGAAGCTGCGCACATTCCCACGTTCAGTTCATTGTTAGTAAATCCAAACGTGAGCGATTCTGAGCGTGAAACCTGGCGTACGCAAAGTTTTTGTGCGTACGCAGCGTTGATACATGAGGCCCCAGACGTATGTCTATCTGTCTAATATAAAAGTATATATATATTTTTTTTTTCCTTTTGATTACCGATCATTTGATGTGCTTTGCTCTACTCTCTGTATTACACTGCCTGTATGGGTTTCAACAATGATTGTAACGGACTGAACACAGAGACTGGACAGCCTAATTTAACCCAATGCATGAAGTTGTGGATGAGCATCACAGAGCTGGTACAAATACAAGCATTTAAGTGTCTTCAGTTATGTCTTCAGTTATAAGTGGAATCCAATGTAGAAAATATGATAAACTTGACTGAGTGCTTCATTTCC